ATCATTATATATTCTTGCTAACCTGGACTAGAAGAACCAGTTTAGTGATCATTTCTTGTATCATTTAACCTAATGACAAAAGGAGCTTCGAGGCGGTACTTCAATATGTTTTTGTTATCTGATTTATACTGAGCGTTTTTTTTTAATTTTTGTTTTTCTTCATGATCGTATGTGTATAAACCAAAACGTAACTTCTGTTGTACTTTACTAAGACATAATATGCTCGTAAGCTCTTTAAAATAAACTCAAGAAAAGGGTAAAGTTCCTTTTACAACAAATATGTATTTCTATGACAGCAAAAGCTACATCATTTCTGATTCTTAGATTCACCTCACATTACAGTTGACTATCTTGTTTTAAACTCTGTTTGCAGACCAACGGGGAGATTAACTGCCAGCCCTTGTCTGAGTTACAGAGGAAGAGCGACTACAAGAAACAAGGTAAATACTTCTGTTACTGTCGTATTTAATGTATAACTAGATTGCATTCTGTACGTGTTCTACTTGTTCTGTGCTCTTTGTAGAGCGGGCGGGCGTTTATAATGACGAAAACATGAAATATTTCTCGCCCTAGAGTGCGAAGTAAGCGCCGAAACTACATTTTTTCTTGTCAAAGGTCAGTATTTAATTTTTCTTAATTACACGATTATACTTTAGAATGCTTGGAAACGAACAAAACTGTGGCATTTCTTTGCAGATATTTGGAGAATCGTATAGTAACACAACGTAGTTTTTTTATCAGCGGGAACAACACGAAAACAACTTCTAAACATGATCATAATTTAAACTTATATTTTATTGGTGGATAATCGTAGTTACAAAGATAAAAACGAAGATGGTATTTATATGGCACTTATTTTCATATTGACTGAATAACTGCGTAGTGTGGCTATCATACTAGTCACTTTTAGTGGTTATATACACCTTTCCGAAAACTCAGTTACTAACATATATAGATCTTATTCACACCCTAACGGTTGTTACACATGAAATTTGATGGTATATATATAGCGCCTGACGAGAACTGGTATTGGGCGAAACGCCTTGTCGGCACTGGGTATGGCAGATGTAGTGTGGTTGAGATGTTTTAACATATTCTTAGAAATACTCCAGGGTATAACGGTACTGTATGCTACTTCCCATACGTTCGTATATAATAATACAAAGATATTTTTGTAATGCCCTAACTGGGCCTAACTGCTTATACAGTCTTTCAATTTCACCAGAGAACGGCACATATTTTCAACTTCACTTTTGTAGCCTTAAGTTGGTCATGTTTGTATACACAAAATTTATAAAGGCTATATAACTATAAGACACACACTTTAAGATTGCTGTAAAAAAGGGGGAAGTTGGAGTTGATTAAAAAAAAACAAATACTTTAATGAGTGATCTCTTAAAACTCGACATGAACTGAACATACACATTCCTAATTTGAAACATTCTTAAATATAAAGGTAATAATTGTTGTTCCCTAAAGTCCCAACAGATAGTAAATGTTTAAACGACCAGCAATACATAATGGTGCGTCCGAATTATTTATACAATAATTGTCCACCCGTAGAGACCGTGACTCGCTATCTCCAAATAGTCTGAAAGTATAGGATTGCCACAAATGCTACAGTCTCAAAAGTCCAACAGGTAGAATGTTACAATTTGAGATCGGCTAAGTGTGTAAGACTTGAAACAAATGAACCTAAAAAAGTCATAAAATGATTATAATAAGAAATATTACTTTGGTCACTGGGAGCATCCCAGGTAAAAAAAAAAAGTCTGTTGTTTGGTCAACAAAAGTGCATTAGGTTATAACTTGTTTAATGCTAATTATCATTAAAGCAGACAGAAAGCCTGTTACGAATCTGTCTCCGGTCGAGTGACGATATATTATGGTAGAGTTCGTAAAGCGGTTTCGCGAAGAACACCTTACGAAGATCCCTCTATTTTTGTGTTATAGGATTGTGTTTGTTGAAGAGTACCTGTGCTGTTGATCCCAGGCTACCTTATTTACCCATTTGCTTGTACTTAATCATGAAATATTAAATAAAGTGTGGAGAAACAGTAAGAGGCCCTAAATTAAGAATTACAATAGTTTTTTTTAAATAAAAATGGAGGCACTCTCAATGTTGTTGTACATTGAATACCCTAATTTTTCACTTCTTCGTATCTAAGCGAGATCTTTAACAGTTTTCTAAACATGACTGCTGTTTTTACCCCACTTCAATTACCATCAAACAATATATATATTAATTAATTTGTCCGTTTCGTATCCACAATCTTTTCTCTGGTATACAAGACAACGTAGTCTTAGTTCCAGTATCACTAAACATTATTATAATAGGTTCTCTACTGCTTTAGCCCCCAGTGAATCAGTGGTAAATTGTCGTTAAATTTCATTGGTCACTAGACATTGTTATGGTGGATTATATGAAGTTTTGTATATAATTATATCACTGGAAATCAGTGGCAATGAGTGAAGCAAACTATTAGTTTGTATGTCTCTTGTAAGAAACTTACATTCTCCTCTTTCTTTAATATTAGTTTCATTAAGAGTATTGATTCAAATGTTTAATATGTATACTTATTTTTTTATATAATTTTACAATACATTTTTAAATGATTATTTTGAATTGTAAGTTTAGTATTTAAATTCAAGACTAACCTTGATCCTAAACTGGCTGAATCTTGTGAGATATTATTGGAGTTAAGGTACACAAGGAATATAACTTTAAAAATTTGGAGTTCGATCGCTGCAGTGGACACAATGGAGATAACCCATTGTGTAGCTTTGCGCTGCGCATATACTAAACAAACTCCACTAGCTTATATTTTCAAATCTTGAAATAACATGGAACTTGATTTATTACTGGCTTTTAATAAACACTTATGATATGCACAATAAATGTGCAACAAGTTTATTTGAGATAAGAACGTATTTTAGATGAGACGTATTAGCAATTGATGAGATCAATTTATTTCTCATAGTAAGCTCGTAAATGTACACATATTACATTTGTACGCCATCTGTAGCGTGTTTTTATTGTCGGTTACTTCTTTGTACATGTTATATTCTTCAATGTGCAGAATGGGATTATTAATATACCAGTAATACGTCTGTGGTTATTGCTGACTTCCGTGGAACTAAAGGAAACACGTTTACCCTTGAAGAAGTTAAGCCTAACTTCCGAAAGCGCTCTGATTGTCATAGGATTTCTTGTTGTGTGACTTGTCTATTTTTGTATTCTATGTAATTTCTTAGTTTTATGGATTCTGAGGAGCCAGGTGGATAGTAGTACCAAAATGAATTCCTTGAATCCCATAGTGTTCTGCAGCCAAAATAAAGTTTGTTAGTTTGTTTGTTTTGAATTTCGCGCAAAGCTATACGAGGGCC